AAAAAAAAAAAAAAAAACTTCCTATACTAAACGAACTGAACAAACCACGAAACTTCACTGAATGGCCAAAGATCAACTATGCGAATATAAATTCCATTTTTTTTTCTTTTATTTTCAATTGGACAAATTTTTATTGCCTATAAATAACTAAAGTTTTGTTTTATTCCAATTTTTTTTTTATACTGATGCTAAAAATTTTAAGGAAATTAACTTATTAAAAGCTGGAAAAAATTTCTTGCAATAAATACTAGTAGGAGTGCTGATATTTAGTGCTAAAGTGCCTAAGTGCAGTTTATTAAGGCTTAGAGCAGCAAAGAAAGCTTTTTTCACAGATGGACTTATGTAAGTGTTTTTCTTTTCCCTGTGCGACAAATTGGTAAGACGTCTCTAATAAAGAAAACAGAGTTCAACAGCTAGTTTAAAGGGATAAATTTGAAGAAAATTAAAAAAAAAACTTCTTCTATACATGGTCTCCTTAATAAAATTGTATCGGCTGTCTCAACAACACTCGCTAAAATATGTGCAGCTTGACTTTATTAAAAAGTTCAGCTTTGGCAATAATTTTTTTCACTTTTTTGCAACAGTCTCTTATTGTGTAATATTGATAATAGTCAAAAATGAAAATATGGAGCTGAAAAACATTTCATTGATGTTTAATGGCCATTGTATTCTCAATACTAAATAAACTGACCAGTGATGGAATATTTAGGAGCATAAAGAGGAACTTGCAATACTTTCAATTGTTGTATAATGACAACTAAATTTCCTTAGTAGAATTTCAAAATCTACAAAACAAAATGTATCTTCTACTTACCTTGCCTTCATCTTGGAGTATTTATCTTAACGGTTCTGTAAAAGGAGCTTCACAACTTCTAGATGTTAGGAGAACAAATTTGTTTCTGAACTGTGGTCGGTGATTTTTAGTTTATCACAGAAACAATTTTGTATTTTGATGAATAATTAAGTGCTTCGTTTTATCAATTACGTTGTTGTTGTAAAAGAAAAATCAGTCTCTGTTTCAGCGGTCGTCTTGCTTTTACTTCGTTGTCAGCTTATGGAGGAGAATGACAGTCAGAAATTAGTTCTGCTGGTTTAATAGTGTTGAATGGGTGATATCATTTATCGAAACAGGTTTTAAAAAAACTACCAAAATCGTGAAGGAGTTGAATCGACCGCAACAGTCAAAGACGAGCTGTGCCAAAGGTGATTCAAAGAAAAGTAGAAGTAAATTTCGCACCAACATTCGATACCTGCGTTCGGTTCATTCAAAATTACTCATTTCTTCCGCTGAACGAGTCACTTATAAATTATTGAGAAAACTTTGGTTTTTAGTTCACGACGGCTGGAAATCCCATTTATTTTAATCATTCAAAGAGGTCTCATGTAAGACACAAAAAAGAAATTTGTTTGCTTCATGATTGCCAATGGCAACACAAGATGATTCTTTGTTTGATTCGCATTATCAGCTTCAAAATGCTTGTCAAACTTGATTCTGTTGCTGGTTTTTTCTCTTGGCGTAGCCGAAGTAATTGACTATAGATAACCTGGCAAATCAACAGGAAACTGTGAGGGGAAGAATTTAGTAGCAACTATTTTGTGCTTTGTCTCAGACATAATTGAATGGCAATGCCAAATCATTAGTTTGAAGCAATTCATTTACCGCTAAAATCAGTGCGGCTTTCACATAGCTGTAATGCACTTTTAAAAGCTGTTCAATTGAATAGAAGTTGCTTCGCAGTTTCCAGGATGTTTAATTTCGGCTGGAATAAAAAGCGGTAAAACAGCAAAATCTTCAAGGTGTGTAAGCTTCTAAATGTTTCAAGAAAAAAAGTTTTTCCTTCTTTGTTTTGCCTATCTCAAATTACAATTGGAACCCAAAACCGTCTTCATAATAGTCAAATTAATGCAGCATAGTGACTGCATAAACTTACTTTCTTTTACTTGTGTCTTCCAACTCTTATTTAAAGAAAAGCTACGGCTATGTAATTGCTAGCAAAAAATCTGCCACATACCTACTTAATTATTGATGTATTTGGTAATTATTCTCAAGGTTCAAAATATTGGGTGCAATAGTACCTTCCACTGGATAGAACGACAACTGAAGTGTAAATATCAGTGGTCAGTTCAGCTATATCGCTGTTACATTCGATTGAAAACTAACTCCCTTAGGCCGAGAGAAGAAGCAAAGCAAAGATAAGAGAAACCCATTAGCCATGAAAACAAGATCAGAGTTTTAGTGCTGTTTGGTTGACAAACTGTGGGAACGAGAGGAAAACAAAAAAGAACACAATTAAAAGCAAATGGCATGTTGAAAGAAATAGCAAAAATTTTTTTTAAAGACAAATTGATGATTAATGATTTTAAGGCGAGTCCAAGTCTCAGTAGGTTAATTTTGTTGACGACGCTGATAAAGTATTAACAAAAGCTGCAAAGAAAGAACAGACTGTTTCTGGATACCAATGAAAACCTCTTTTTTTGCGTTGGTCACAGACAACCACCACATATTCATGGTGCTTGCCGATACGTACAAGTATACTTTTGATTACTGCCGACATGCATGAATATACTTCAAAGAAACCGTACAGTAAGGTAGCAGCGCCGTACTGAAGCCATGTTTGTAGATTCAGTAGGCTAAAGTATTGATTTAGTAGTGATCCGAACGGCTGACAACATCAACAGATCCAAATTCATAGTCAAGTTAATTTTGAAACTAAAACAAGGAAGAAAAAAGTTTTAATTCTAATTTTAA